GGCGTTGGACAGCAGCACGAAAGACTTGTACCCAATCGAATCTGTTCGGATGGAGCCAAAGCCAGGCGCGGCATGAAGCCATTGGGTAACGGCCGCGTCAAGTTGTCGCTCAGCTATTCCCAAAACTGCCTGAAGCCGTGGGTTCTCTTCCCCCCGTTTTCCCTTTCTTCCATCCTAGTCTGTTCACAACTTCACCCCCGTCTCTGGCCTCTGTCTCTCTGTCTCTCTGCCTCTGTGCTGCTGTGAAAGCCACGGACGTGTGACCAGGGGGCCCTTGGCTGTGACCGAACACTGCTGCAGGGCATGTCCTAGAGTCGAGGAGGGTGTCGAACTGTCGAAAGTTACGCGTGTGTGCCCTCTCCAGCTGGAAGTTGTGCACACACCAGATGGCAGGACAGGAAGCCATCCCTACCTTTGCCTAGACCTGCCCTAGTTTTCACTATTCACTCCTCGTATGTACACTACACACTGCCCATGCCTACATTACCACCCTCCTCAAGGCTCTGTGGGCATGGGAGACAGAGCCTGAGAGGACGGAGGCAGACACCAGAGAGGGAAAAGAGGAGTTGGTACTTGTGGTATTCTGGGTCTACACCCTCCCGAGTCCCCCGGGATGCCGCAAAGTGGACTCCTAATTTCGCTTTTCCTCCTCATCTCAACCCACTCCGTGCTCGTTTCCCTCTTTTCAACAAAACAAGCCGTTCCCTCCAATTCCACCCGCTGTCACTCGTTCCATTTCCTACCCTCCCCCCCAAGTCTCTCCCTCTTCCATTGCCTTGCCTTGCCTTGCCTTGTTACTCATCTTCCCAATCTCGCCAAGGTCTCCTCCTCTTTTTTCCCTTGTTCATTTACCCTCTCCTTTCAATGTCATTTACTCGGTGATATCCTCTTTTTTTGCTAGTAAAAGAGAACAACGTGAAGGAGAAAGAACAAGAGGCTTCGTAAAAGCCCAAATCAACTCGCGAAGAAACCGTCAGGAGGCCTGTTTGTGCCCACACATTCTTTAGGACTCGCCTTGTTTGCCGCACGACCCGAACACGGTCCTGCTTCGACCGACACACTCGCTCAACCCTCAGTAACACCATCATCTAACCCTTCTCCGATCGACCGAATTACGATTCTCTCGACGGATACAACTTATTAATCGAATTGGGAGGAAAATCGAGAGGACGCTGCTTGGATTTCGAAATCTGGGAAAGCATTCGGTGGCCGACTGAACCGCACCGAGGCAACAACCCCTGAGACCCGTCGACAACCCTCGAATCCGCAAGGCCTGTCATCGTCTTCGAGTCCTGGAATCGATTCGAGACCGCACCTTCATTCAACCTACTTTTCGTTTCAACGCTTTCGTTATACCCCCCCTCGACAACCATTATGAAGTACTCAGTAGCTGTTTTGGCCGCCGTGGCCCTTGGCTTCAGCTCAGCCCAGACTGCCACCACTACGTCAGGATACCAGAAGCCCAGTGAGGCCGCGAGGCCAGGCGCCATCACCAACCACGGATGTTACAACGCGTCATCAACGACATGGACGAAGTACCCCGTCGAGAATATCAGTACCGGATCATGCACATTGGAATGTCAAACTAAGCAGAAGAAGAATGTCGCCGCTATCAACGGCGAGGACTGCTACTGCGGTGACTCGTACCCGCCAAAGGTCGATGTTGTCGACGACAAGAAGTGCAACTTCCCTTGCCCATTCTACCCGGAAGAGGCTTGTATGTTGCCCTACGTCTCATGGTTCAACTTTCGATGTGATGGCTAACCTTTTTGAAAGGCGGTGGTGTCGATGACATGATGTACTACTCAGTTTTCAACACGGGTCTCAAGCTCGTGGTCCCCGATGAAGACGTCGCAACCACCACAACGGCCGCAGCCACCACCAAGGCCACGACAACAACCGCCGCCAACGGTGTCGTCTCAACCGTCATCGAGACGCCCGTCGCGACAACATCGGCCGCGGCAACCGAGACGCCCAAGAAGAGCACCAATGTCGCCGGCATCGCCGCAGGCGTCGTCGTCGGTGTCGTGGCCATCGCCGCCATCGTCGGCGCTGCCTTCTTCTTCGTCCGCAGGAAGCGCAACGCCGAGATCGAGGAGGAGCACCGCCGCAACGCCGCCGTCAACGCCTTCATTGGCGGTTCCAAGCCGCCCAGCAGCAGCGGCGTCTCCATGTCCGACTCTCGCATGGATCCTACCCTGGCGCACCGACGTATGAGCGATGGCAGCATTGCCGACAATCAAGATTACTCGCGGAAGATTCTCCGAGTAAGTTTATGAGAAATGAAATGTTAAAATGAGATGAACCCTGAAAAAGCTAATTCCCTCATTCAGGTTACCAACGCATGAGCACCTCACGTCATGACGACAAACGACCTAAAAGCCTGTCCTGGGGCTTTCTTTGAATTACTTCTTTCTACACAATTCTGGCATCAAAGGCGTTTTGTGGTGTTCAATCTCCCGACGCTGGCTTACTCGGGGGCGTCTTCCGAAAAAAAACGACCAGTGTCGTCGGATTTTTCATTTGTATCATGGTGTAGGGTAACATATCTTGGGAAATTACGATATGGGTTTTTGCGTTGGATACATCTATCAAATCTCTCTTGTTTTGGACAACACCATACACAAAAATCCGCCCTTTCGGCCACGACCTCCCTCCCTACGCCGTCCACTCCTTTTGCAACTATCTACAATTTAGACAACTTTTGGATATCACAAACAACCAACCAAACGGGGGCTTTCGTCTCGAGACATTCCCCTTTCTAACCCCCTCTTACCTACCCTCAAATTACAACCCGCCACTACCACAACACCAGTACCTTTTTAAAGACACGTCACCCGGTCCGCCAACCACTTACCCCCTATACTGGGTTCTTTCGATTCTACCGATGGGAAGGGGTTGGCAGGCCGAGATCTTGTTCATCACAAAAACACGGCGGCAGTTGGAGATAAAAAATCTTGTTGAACGACATTTCATGGAAAGAGTCGTAACGGAGTATGATGGCGTACCCCCCTTCCCATCTTGTGTATAGTAACCATGGCACCTTCATATTATGAACGCGAAAGGACCACGTCCGGGGAGGGATTATTACACGGGCAGAGATCTTCAATATCATGGATAAAAACAGCTTTGGCCCTCCCTTGGAGTGTCCGCGTGAGAAGAAAGAGATTTGGCCAACTTGGGCCCAACCCGATGGAAGCAGGAGATGGGAGGCTGGTGCGGGAATTCATTTTTTTTTGGTTGATACAGCGTGTTCAAAGTTAACTTGGGTATGGAAATGTGGCGTAGTAATCGAGCAAAATATCCAATGACCTCATATTTCCTCATTTTGGTCCCTCCTGATTACATTGACTTAGCAAACGCCCGTGAAGGAACATTTGACAGTGAGATGGCCGTGAACTTGCAGTAGGACATACTCCGACTGCCGCGTCTAGTCGCTGGGCGTTCTTCCGAGCGACGCCCCCGAGCTCCGAGCACGCGCCGTTTGTGTGTGACCCGGCGAGAGGACAGTAATGTGTGACAAGGTCACCTGACATTCTACAACGGAACTGCAGCCTTTCTCCCTACCTACCTACTTTATCCCTCCCTTGCCAGACTGCAGTAAGGTAAGGTAGTGTAACCGACTGCCAACTTTCAGCCTGCCCCCTCCCCAGCCTTCTGCCAACATTCTAAGCTTGGGCAACAAGATCATACCTTGTTTGCGGGCTGCCCGATGGGGGGGGGGGCAGGATACTTGACCGAAAGGCCTCCAGCACGTGGGCATCGAATACGGGGGGGAGGGAATAAAGACAAAGATTGGGATTGGACGTTGGCTTGTGCTTGCACCACTGGCTGTTGAGCGTTCAGCCTTTTTCTGTGGTTTTAGTGTGGGTGCGCTGGGGAAAGAAAATTGGGGATTGGGTGTGTCAAGTTTAGGCCCCTGACGATCATTTTTCGGGATTTTTCTTTTACTCTTGGTGTGTGTGGTACTCTGTACATACTGATCGGTCCGTTTGTAAGGTTGTGAACGATACGTTTTTGGTCGAGTGACCGGTCAACGAACGCTGATCCTTGGTAGCCGAAACCAGTCACATCACTGAGACTAGCCGCCCCGAAATTGACACGTGGGATGCGAAAAGAGAATAACTTTCTCAAGCTCTAGTATGTAAGAATAGTCGTCTCAGTTGGGTTGGTTGGTTGGTTCTTGACTTCTTTGTGGTCGTGGGTCCTCGGACAGCGAGCGGTGTGTGAGTGGACTGGGTGGATGAGAAACGAATGGGGGAGGTGTTGAAGCCTGGAGGGGATGTCCCTGGCGATGATGATGCCCATCCATCCTGTCCCAGTTCTTGGCCTGACGCCATTTTCAATGTCCGAGTTGAGAGTTGTCACCGCCCACCCTTGCTTGGATCCTATCGAGTGGTATCGGGGATGGCTCGTCGTTGTTTCAACAGTGACGAATGAGCAAAGCCGGCGTTGTTGGGGGGCTGGATATCGGACTGAAGTTTGACCTCTTGAAGTATCGGGAGTTGCGGGCTCTTTGGTAATGACAACAGGGCTGGCCGTGGAGACTGTGGAGATTTGCAAAGCTGTGGACATCGCGTGGGTTTCTTTTTTTGGGGATCGTTGAAGTCTCTTCCCGTCATCCAGGCTCTTGGTCCGAGTGAATTGAGTCTGGTTCCGAAGGAAAAGATGACTTAGTCGCTGGACTTTAGAGGTGGTTCCGTGCTGCTTGATGCATGTGCCGACGGGCAGTGTGACTTTCTGGTACCGAGTACGGATCCTCTCCCAAGTGCCGGGCTTCGCGGTGTGGTATCCGGACGCTCGGGATGACGTCGTGATGGGGGCACGGGGGCATGAAACGTCGTTGCTTGTCCTCTAGGTAGACGAGGGCTGGGAAGATGTTTGGTAGCGTTATTCGTCTGACTTATACCGTATCAGGCCTGCCATAGGAAGGAATGGCATTGCAAGCATCAGATACACAGTCCTTCATCGCCGGCAATCAATCGATGATCGGCGAGGAGATTTGGGGACGAGCAGATGGAAACGTGATTGAGGGTATATGAGAACTCAATATACCAAGGTAAGTAGGTAAGGATTGACGAGCTTACGAGGCATTATGTGGGAGTCAGTGTATGGGGACAACGACCCAAAGCGGCCTTGTTTCCATCTTAAAATCTCTAGCATCGAACTGAAAGAAAGCACATGGAGAATCTGTTATTGATCAAAGCTAGATCGATGCTGGCTGCGTTCAGCTATAGGGTTTTCATCTCTGGAAGATATGCTGCCATAAGCTGAGATGTCTACAATGCTATTCCGAACCTCGCACATATCAACTCTCAGGTTCATCAGAAAGCCTCTGCGCGGAGTTATTAGTTAGTAATGGAAGTTCTTCCTGCTCCTGTGCCGTTTGAGGCCCCTTGATATATTTACAAGATACTATAAGGCGCATTTCCTCGTCCACTTCTGCCGTGCAGGTCAAATCGGCAGGGAACTGGCGATCACCGGAAGTGGCTCGAGCAGACGACAAATTACTAGGGGAGAAATATAGCAGGGAACGCTTATACAACTCCATATGTATGTCTGAGAACATAAACTCAGGGTAGTGGGCTTGGCCCTCCTTCAACTCCCAGGGCCAGGTTGAGCCTAGAAAGAGCTGGACATTAGGGGATTGATCTTTGGCCTTGTATAGAAATAGTAAGACTACGACATCCGATGGCAGCGCGCGTAAGGATATCTTGATGATGCCCATAAAATCTTCAGTCTGAGCTTCCCCCACGAATCCCCGATGGACGGGGTCCCAGAGGTCGCTGGGCTCGACGAAGAGAAGCTTGCCAAATCTGTCGAGGCAGTCTTCCGGATGCCACTCCAGCTTGAAGAAGTGGCCGGGCCGCTGCTCATATCTCCGGCTCTCTGAGGCTGTGACCGTCCTCCGGACGCATACGTCGATTAAGCCGCTAGCGTGCGGCACCTCACTCTGGTACCGGCAGCGCCCTGGCGTCGCGCGGACCCAACCCTCGGCGGTGAAAACCAGGCCGATGTGAATGCGATGTGAATAATGACAAATTTGGCAGTCGCCTTGTGTTACAAAAGGGAGCGACCAAGTGGCGCTTCCCTCCGTGTCCATGCCCAAGAGGTGTGTAAATCGGACGCCTTTGTTGATGACGGAGAACTCGATCCGGTCCGATGTAAGCCGGTTGTATCGGATATAGTTGCCGCAGAATGTGAATTCCGCGAGTTCTTTTGCGAATATGCCTCTATACCGCTGTTCTTCATCAACTGCTACCCAGGCGAAAAGCGACAAATCATCCGTGCCCTTGGCAATCTCTTCCTGGAGCCTCTGGAAGGCTTTGGCGCCCTCGCCGTAGATCATGGGCATGTGGATGTCAAAGAGCCCTAGGAGAGAGTAGGCACGATCTTCGACACGGGTCGTTCGGCGATGTGCTGCCCAGGACATTCTGACGGCGACGGGGACAGCGGATAGTTCCTTTTCGAATGTCAAGATTTCGACATCGATGTTGGTTACAGTCGATAGGCACACTGGCCACTCGTCCTTGGAGAACCTTAACGTCCACCCAGCATCGTAAAACTCCACGACAGTCGGTGCGATGAGCTCCTGCAGAGTCCAGCCGCGACTGAACCACTTACACCTAGACAGGTCGGATATCTCATAGACCCCAGGTCCAGTGCCGCCAACTTCCGGGCGGAGATCCGAAAGGAACACCAAGCAGACTTTCGCTTCCTGGTACCACCGGAACATGGAATTGATGGCTTCGCTCAGCTCGGCGCTGCTGGACTTGTCGATGCAGCAGGTGTCGACCCACGCGTATCCCAGGCCCTTCTCCTGTGCAATCTCACAGGTCTTTGCGACCTTGTCAAAGCCTGCCTTGCTCTTGGTCGTCGGTGCCATAGTGGTGGAGGACATTTCCTGGAAAGAGACCTCATCGTTGCCCCATGTGTGCGAGAGTATCGCGTACCCAACCTCTGATGGGTCCGTGAAGCTCTCGAGGGCGAGGGTCTTCGTATTGAGAAGCCACATAACTGAACAAAGCAGAAGGTTTCTCAACTAAACGCTGTCGGGACGAGCGCGGACGGCAACGTTTCCGTCTGCGAGACGTGTTTTGCATGATGTCCTCCTGTTCAAAAGATGGCTTCTCAGCTAGGAAAAGAGGGGAAAGAAGCTGAAAGATGCCCAGTCCAGATTTGGAAGTGTAGAAAGTCAGAATACGCGACGCCATTGGTCGCTCAACATAGCCTGCATGAGTCTCCCGCGCTTGAATCACGGAAGCCTTGTTGCAAAATCATCATACGATCGTCCCTTTTGTGAAATGTTCTGTTCGAATTGATGCCAGCAAGCACGTGAGGCCGCCTTGTCATTACATGGCGACTGGGAGTATCAGCGATGCTCGCGGAAGCACACTCAACCTCCTTCAAGACCAATGCCCCTCAGGGGCAATTGTATACATGAAGCTTGGGAACATCAATCTGAGCTGTCGCCGATGTAAGTTTTCACAATAGGATATAGCACCGGAAGGGGAGAGAATTGACTGAACGCCGGCGAGGATTTGGCAAAAGAATCCCTGAATTTTCTCAATCGCAACAATGCCGAGTTTACTTTTGATACGCCTCGCTTTCCTTGCACTCGCCACGATGCTTTCGCCAATCCTTCTTCTGGCAGTCGGCACTACAATACTTGACACTCAAACAGCGCATACACTTCTTTAAAGCGGCGCCGTTTGTTGGCTCCTTGCCACAATTGGTACATCTTTCCTTAGGTGGCGCCATACCATTGGCGCGATAATCCTTGTATTTATTCGTGTCCACAATCTCCTCCACAAATGGTACAGCGAACGTCGGGCTGATGGCAATGCGGGTTGCGTATTTGGACGCGGTATCCCACTCTGGAAGCCCGATGAAGTTCGCCGGGAACTGTCCGCGGCCACAGGAGCAGAGGACGGGCTCGCTGGGTTCCAGTGATAGGGGTACGGTGGCGCCGGCCTTGCGGTACTCGCACGACGACTTGTGATTCCATGTCCGGGTACGCTCAGCCAGGGCGGGGAGGACCTTCTTCCAGAGGATGAGTTCCTCATCGTTGACGGTGACAGAGGCCATCTCGAGCTCTCTCAGAAGCAGAAGGAAGGGCTCTATTTTCTTGATGATGGGGAGGGTGAACGGTAGGACTGCGGCATCGAGGACAACGGAGGCGGAGGCGGCATCGAGACGGAGAGCGGAGACGAAGAAGAGCATGTGAATGCCGCCGCGGTCCGGGTGGTTGAGGCAGAAGAGGCCAGTCTGGCCGCCCTGTTGACCCGTGGAGAGCATAGTCATGGTGAAGATTGACTCTTTGAAGTTGACGCGGGGCGAGGGGGCGAGGTCGAGCCTGCTGGCGTTGATTCGCTCGCGCAGTGCCCTTTCACGGACCGAGAACTCGAAGGAGAGCAGTGTATTGAGAAAGGGAAGCTCATCCTTTTTGGCGACGTCGATAATGGGGAGGCGGTCGAGGTTCAGGTGCGGGGTGTTGAGATCGGCTGGGGTGTTTGAGAGACCTCGTGCAAGCTGAGTTGGGTAGACAAAGTCGGTGAGTACCGTGTTTGTTTCTGGATCGCTGCTAGGTTCGGCAAAGGGGGCAATAACCTCGACGTAGGCGGATGTACGAGCGATGCGAGTTTTCGCCTTGCTGGCGTCGATCAGAGTAGGGAAGGTGAGAGGATAGATCAGCTCCTTTTCACCAAACACGACGTTGACGGTGAAGGGAGATACTTGATCAAGGGTGATGGGTAGCTTGTCAGTAAGGAATTTCTTGCCCTTGGCAGACAGGATATCGAGATGGCCAGTTATAGTCTCGATTCTGTCCTGTGTTTGTGATGCGTTCGCGGTGAAGGACGATTCTGTATCCTTGCTCTTTTCGAAAGCAGCCTCCGCGACCAATCCCGCAGCTTCAGAAGCAGCCGGATACCTCATCTGACCGGGCATGTACTTGGTGATGAAGACGCGGTCCTCGTCGGCCAACTTGGCCTGGAAGATTCTTAGTTCGCTACCGAGAGTCTTGCTGAAGACGGCGATACTTTGAGCAGAGCTCAGGACCTCCAGGCGGACATAGGAAGTTTTGCGTTCCACTTGCAACGCTGCAGCAGAGACGTAGAAGGTTGCGATGAGCGGAGACTTCCCAAGCCAACCTGCCGGGTCTGCATCGACGGTGACCGAAAAGTCGCTGGTGTCACGGTCACCGCTGGGTTTGACGGTGCCAAAGACAAGCTGTACCTCGTCGTAAAAGTTGTGCCACTTGTGGTTGGCATCTTCACCAGAGACCAACGATCCTCTGATGGTGGGAGAACTTATTTTGGCTTGGTCAGAGCCATCAAAGACGCGCGCAATATTCTCCCGCGGGACAACGAGAGTCACGGCCACGACCTCTGGGACTGATGTCCAGGAGTCGAACCCGCCGAGGTTACGGTTAGGCTTGATCTCTGCCCGAAGCCAGTCTTCTGAGCCGACCCCTTGCGTATGCATCTGCACAGACAAATCTTGTCTAAGATTCCCGGTGAACATCAGGCTTCTTTCAGCGGATACCTTCTGGAGCAAAACCCCGCAAGTCTTTCCAAAATTGTCTACAGATAGACGTAGCTTGAGATAATGGAGAAGGGAGACGAGGGTGCCCCGGTGAAAGTGGGAGTAGGCCGTGTTGCGGATAAGCTGCGTGACGGATGACTTCGAGATGGACAGCAGCTTCATGGGGTTTTCGTGCGCGAAGACTTTGAGGTAGAGGTTGAAGAATATGCTGGCTAGCGCCTCAGATTCGATTGCGAGAGGGCCGGAGGCGTTGACCCCCGAGAAAAGCTTGCTCTGTTTCCATGTAATTCGGCTGTGCACTTGGGCCACTTCGTCGCCCTTCGCCTGGATGCTCTTGGTGCTCAGACCGATCAGGATCTCATCGACGCTTGAAACGGCAGTGGAGTTGGTCCAGTATTCGACCGCGCTCGCGCCTACCAATAGTGATATCGTGGGCCCGTGGCCGTACAAGAGGGTATCAAAGGCCTCTTTGGCGGTGCTTTCTCTCTTCAGAAGGGTTTCGGTGAAGACAGCCGACCAGGGGTGGGGTGTGAGCAGAGGTAGAGCCGACATGATAATGTTCAATGTGCCGAAGTGGTCTGCGAGGTTGGATGTGTCGACGGTATCGAATGCGATCGGAGCTGTTGACTTGGCGCCGTACACATCTTGGTCCAAGGACAGGACGCGGGCATCGAATTGGCGACGGTACCATCCGGCAGACATCTCGTCGGTGACGATTAAGTGCTGCAAAGTGTGACAGAACGCAAGGGCTTCACTGGCGATGGAACGGATCACCAACTTCTTCCCCCGAAGAAGAGTCCCACAGGCAGCCGCCCACTCTCGGAATTGTGTCTTTGCAGCCGAGAAAACCCTGGTCCTCTCATCCTGTTGATCAGGCTTCAGAGGAGACTGATCGGTCAAGGGGATGAAGGCCGCGGCAAGATGGAAGCCGAGGATGGGGTCAGTTCCGTAGTGCAAGAGATGGTGTTTCGACAGTGAGGCATAGAAGAGGGGGTTTGGGTTGCTGACGGCACCGTTGGGTGTAGCGTCGGCGGACTCCCAGAACTGCTGAGAAGCTTCGGTGACTTCCTGTGCGTTTTGTAGTGCAGCAGGAGCAGCTGATCGCAAACCGGTGAAAGCTACAGCGTTGCCGAAGGCAATTCTCTTCATCTCAATGGAGTGTTTGAGATTGGCAGTCAGGGCTTCGGAGTTGGCGATGACGTTGTCGGACGCAGCGGCATTCTCATAGCTGATCCAGACGGCACGAACGTCGTCGAGCGTAGCTTGATCGCAGAAGGGCAGGACCTTACCGTATGAGCTTGCTTTCCACGACTTTAGAGACTCTGATGCTTTAAGCAGCTTCTTGACTTGAGATGATAAGATGTGTAGGTCTGAGCTGTCAATATGAAGGTTGTAGTACAAGTTCCAGGGGCTATTTCCGGACACATTGTTGTTATCGATGAGTAGAGAGAAGAGAAAAATGTTGCGTGCTTCAGATGGTCAGCAAATACTCATTGATAGATGCAGACTTTGAACATACCTAAGATAGCTTCATCGATGTCATTGACTGTGATATCCAGATTGCGACCAGCTGACGGCGAATTAGTAAGGTGGATCTGATTTCATCACGACCTATTCAGCACTTACGCAGTCCAATCTCATTGTAGGCTGTGTAAATGATGTTCCTCACATCTCCACAACCAAGTAGTAGAAGGCTGACATCAACTCCATTAGGCAGGTTTTTGGCTAGGTTGATAGCTGGTGTATTGCCTAGCGCATAGAAGTAGGAGGTCGAGTTGGCAACAGTTGGGGTGAACATTGTGACTGAAGGCGAGCCTGGGAGGAGTCAGGTGACGTAGAAGATACTCGATGAGTAAGGTAGAGAGACGTACGGAGTATGGTCTCTATATGCTTCAAGGTGTTAGAACGCCCATGCGAGGTCGGCGTCCCACCACCAAAGGCTTGCCCACGTAATCACAGTAGGAAGTGGAGGGGACAAATTGTGGTCTCAGACCAACATGTGGTTGGTAGGTCAAGGAGAAAACTCTCAAAGTGAACAAGATGAAATCTCAAGAGATGAAGGAATGTGAAAAGGAAGTCAAACTTGATCTCTCGTTCCTCTTTCGTCTTATTGAAGCGAAAGTCGGGCAGGGCGGAGGCACACAACACGGTCTTGGTGACGAGGTGAGAGCTTTGGAGGGGCTGGTGGCAGCTGGCACCAGATGGAATTGGCATCTTCCTCGTCGCACTTTGTGCTGACCGCCCACACCAGCCACATCAGCAGCCCGGCAGAACGAGCAGGTGGAGGCTTCAGCCACACCATTTCGATGCTGTTCGCGACGCCCATCGCGTTTTTGTTTCCCAGCTCCAGCACTTGAGGAATCAACGTGCAGCTTGCGCAAAAGTCCACGCACATCCATCACTACGATTCTAAACGGCCGGGCGACATACTCTTTCTTTCAAACTACATCAATTGCTCTCGAGTCAAGCGAGGGCTCTCCATCTCCACGCCGCCATTTGCGACGATTACTTGACGTCGAAGCTCTCGCAAAAACAACTTCACACTTGGGCAGCTATGGCCCCTCAGCCAACGCCCCGTGTCCGGCGCACGTCACAAAACACACAATACACGTATGTTTGAGAGGCAGCTCTGGGAGCTACTTTCAAGGCAGCGCGCTGACCGACTTTAGCTACAACCTCTCGAGACGGATTAACGATGTTAAGACCTACCCTGTCCAGTCTCCCCAAGGAGCTACGATCCTCCTCTATGGCCACGACAATGGCATTACAATAATATGGAGAGGTGGACGCCGCTTCAAGCCATCAAAGAAGCAACAAGCAAAACCTGCCAATGAGAAGCAGAATGGTGCTCCAGACGATGCCGTAATGATCATAGACTCCGACGACGACGAACCTCCAGCCAAGGCAGGCAAGGCATCAGCGCCCTTTACTGACAAGCCCGAATTCGAAGATTTCGAGGAGGAGGGACCTTACCCTGAAATCATCCAGACTCTCGACCTCTCTCTTGGCACATCTGTTTTGCATCTTGCCGTCCTGCCTATGACGCCATGCTCTGCCGAAGATGCTGCCTGGGGAGGAGCCGATGTTTTGAAGGAAAAGATGGTGTTCACAGTGGCCTGCGCAACCAACGAAGTCTACGTCGTGACCCTTCCTCTCACACCGCCGAGTCCCGAGAGCAAGGCACGCCCTGAGCTCATGTCCAACCTTCTGGCTGGAAAGGCTGGTTCTGGTCAATGGGGAGAGAGAGTCGTCCTTCTTGGCGGCCAATACAAACGGAGTGAAGGCATTACCATGTCATTAATCAGACCCAAAGCTTCCTCTAGCTCCGATCGGATACGAGAACAGACCGGCGCATCAAGTGCCCCGAAGCCTCGTCTCGTTGTCGCCGCACATACCCGTGAGGCGTCTGGCACTCTCCGTCTGTGGGATGTGCCTCTTGACGTCCAACCCGGCGAAGCCAATGCCCGAATCAACCCATTCCAAACCGAATATCTTCCTAGCCCCCTCTCCAGCATCTCATTTAACCCGACGCATCTTACACAGATCCTTGCAGTAGCCTCCCCGCACGCTGTTCGCATCTACGACTACGCGCTACCCTCTTTTCCTCCGGATGACCAAGCCACCGGACCATTCCCTAGTCAAGGATCCTGGCTGCTCTCTCTGTTCCAGCCATTTACCCGCCCTACGTCAACACGCAAACCTATCCTTGACGCCGCATGGATTTCTCATGGCAGGGCTGTGCTGGCATTGCTCGCCGATGGCACCTGGGGTATTTGGGATGTGGATGGTGCTAGCCCGCTGGGCGCCTCGATCATGGGAAAGAATAGCTCTGGCATCAAGGGTGGCGCAATCACCGCCTTCAGTGCTACCGGTCACGTTGAAGGCACAGGACCGTTGAGGACAACAGCAAGCGTACCGAGGTCCAACGGCAACGGCGAGTTCGTACCTCTGACGCCCCACAGCCGACGTGACGCAGCAGCTTCGCTCAGTACCGCGGGCTCACTGGAAAGGCTTGTGTCTGTCAGAGGCGGTATTGTTGTGATTCCCTTGCCTGGCAGTGGCTCAGGCTCAGGCTCCGCTGATGAGAGCGTCGTGCTTTGGATCGGCGGACTGGATAATGTCTCTGTCATCCCTGCCGTCTCACGCTTCTGGGATGCCCAGCTGCGTCGGAGTTCTGGTGGAGGTGTGAACCTGTTCAGCGGTACTACTCCAACACGAATGATCCGTTTGCAAGATCTGTCTACCGGACTTCTCGGAGAGCGCTGCTGTGGCGTGGGTGCCGCTGTCAACTTTGCCAGGCTGAAGGAGAATGATGGGGGCCTGCAGATTGAGGTCCTCATCATGGGCGAGAGCCGATTGGTGATTGTCCACGAGTCCGAGGACACCCCTGGCACCAAGATCGGAACGGTTGTCTCAACCCGCCGACGTCTCTTTGGCGACAAGGGCAAGCCAGAGCCACCGAGCGCCATTATTGTCCACCCTCGACCCGATCAGCCTCGAAATGTGTCGTTCAACCTCAGCGTTAACAAGACTAGAAGTCTGCGCGCGAAATCGAATGGCCGCGATAGCATCGACGTCGATGATCCGACACACGACTTGACGCTTCCCATCGGTCGGCCCAAGTCCGGTTTCGGTTTCGCCGATACGCTCAACGCTGCCGCAGATTTACAGGATGACGTTACAACGCGCGACGTCGAGGTGGAGATGTTGGATATCTTGGAGATTGATCAGGCTTTGGAGGATCTGGATCACGATCGGGGTAGCGGAAGGAAGAAGGTCTTCTTCGAGGAGGACCAGGACCGGTCGTTCCATTAATGTTTGCTGCTGACGAGACTTGACCTAGACGAGACCAGAATGTACGATACCCCATGGGCCGTCCCGGCAACCGATCCAAACCTTGCGAGTTCCTGGCACGAGCCAAAGTCAACATCAATTTCGTTGTGCTATATCTGTGAACGTTCTTCTTTTCCCTTCTCTCTCTCAACAAATCATTCGCCATGGCTTTTCAAAGACCATGGCAAATCCGCACGTCAAGGTGGAGCGCAAGGAGAGATTCATCCTTGATCCAGCTCTGTATTACGAGCGGTACATCAAACAGACCTCCACATCCCCTGGGACATTTCGGATCCGCAAGGCACAAGATCGCTCAAGATGAAGTGTTGTCGGTGGAAGAAGACTCCATGATGGGATGTGTCGACGCCGACGGTTTCTACCTTTAAGGACAGGGACTTTTATGGGTGGGGGCGGGTGGTTCGGTTTGCGGATTGACCATTTGCTCTCCCAGCCTCTTGATATTGTGTCATCCTGCTATCTGCCTTGATTCCTTGACTCTGGTTTTTGACTGGAGGACGATGGGAGGGGGCGGGGGATGTCAGGGTTGGGAGGTGGTTCTGTCGGTACATTTTTTCATGCTATGCTTTTGATGTTTGCTTAATTTTGATATTGCTTTTCGACTTGTCTTGCATGATCCATAACGTCTTCCTTTTGTGAGGCTCAAAGCCTGCCCTACCTACTAGTCTTACATGTTCGAGTCGCACCCAGCTCTGAAAATCCTTAAGTAGAGCATCATCATAGACACACTAAAAGCGGCATATCCCGGCCTCGTCTCCGTGCGATGTTAACATCCCGTCCGAAACGGCGGTTTACTCACGAAGGATAGCATCAATGATGTCTTCTGAATATTAGGTGGTCTTGGCGTGAATGGCAGGTCATTACTTTAGTAAATTCAAGTAGAAAGGGGCTAGCATTGCCCTGATTATAACTATGAGAATGTTTCACACGGGCGGAAGCAGTCTTGGGTGTCAATCCGAGCCTGGGTCGTTTCCTTGCTCTAGGCTGGCCGGCAAGCATACTAAGCGGCATGATAGTCCTACTCACCAGATTTTCGTTCTTCCCATCTTTGGCGAGATATTTGCCAACACGAGCTTCAAGGATGCTTCAGGCAGCCTTAGAAATGGATGGTATGCGTCTAGTCTTTACGGGTTTCTTGCTCTGGCTCTCATTATCATCGACGGACCGGACGAATTTCTCTGGTGCCATGTTGCCGGGTCTTGCCAGGGCATCATCATCTGGTATATATTCTTACTGCTTTCTGCTGCGTTGGTAGTCTGTTAGAGCTGTGACAGACGAACCAGGTGGTAGTTATTGGAGCGCATGGAAGACTAGGTCTTTTCGTGCAGCCTTCAGAGACACTCATCGCTTCCGTACGTGAGTATCTTGCGTGAGGGTGATGAATGGTACTTGGCACACATGCACATAGACATCTCCTCGTGCCCCGCCTCTCCTTTATGAAAGTATTTGGGTATAATATAAGGACGATGGATACGAATGTTAGGCCCTGGTTTTGGTTATACAGTTAGTTCTGCCGGGTAGAGAGACCGAGGACTTTTGGGAAGGGCTTGTTCCCTGGTCCGATATCTAGAATCTCTACGATCCGCATCATCTTTTCGTTGGACTAAAGTCCTGTGACGTGTCCCTTGCGGTGGCCTGTAAATCGTCCTCTTAGGGCCCTTTTATATGTTCCCCATTCCGCTGTGTATGGAGTCGCTGTTGGTAGTCGGTGTTTGGCAGTAGCTCCCAGCCGTCAAGACAACGACCTTCATCCTTTAAAAGATATTTAGCCTCGGTGTCCCACGGTCATGGCAATTCAAAGGTTCTGGGGACTCGGGGTTGTCAGGTAGTTGGTAATGTGTCTTTCTTGTGTCTGAATTTGTTGCAGTGGGAAAGTCACTCCCAAGTTTTCGATCAACCTCCTTCTGGGGAGTTCTTCACACCATACATGAAGCAGCTCCTGATATAGCAGAAATTGCGAAGAGTCTAAATTTAGTCAGCCTCACTGCTGATAATGACCTCTGGATTCAGGTCATCCGCAATGGTAATTCCGATGTCTGCTAAGCCACATCAATGTGAATGGATGCGGCTTCGCTTAATTATCTTTGTACATCTGAGATGCCAATGGCCACTAACATACACTCCTTCAATCATCGGATGCCCTGCATTAAATGAAGTGTTGGAACAGATGGTGAACGCCGAAGTATTCGGCAAATATAAGGATGCTCAATGATTCGTTAAGTGCAACATGTCATAAGGTTGCTGTGATCGGTGGACTAGCTAGTGGTCACAATATGAGTAGATGGCAATTGGAAGTCACAATGGTCAACGAATTATTTCGAAATATCTTGTGATCAATCGCAATATTGATTTGATCTTGCTAAAACGCCCCATGGAGTCGCCCTCGAACCCCTTTCCATGCTATGTGGTAGTATTGTACAAGTAGGTTGCGCGTAGGACATTTCCAGTCCAGCGGCCTTTCATAACGCATGCTTAGAAATCGTCGTCATACATCTCCCGTCGCGGAACTTTTGGTTTTGCAAAAGAGATCCATCTACAGGTTCTTCTTAACCTGGTCGGCGGTACCCTTGGCCTTGCCAGCAAGCTCGTTGGCCTTGCCCTTGGCCTCGCCCTTGAGCTCCTGCGCCTTGCCGGCAGCCTCACCCTTGAGTTCCTGTGCCTTACCCTGGGCCTCGCCCTGGGTGTTGGGGACGTTTTGCTTGACCTTTTCGGCGACGTTGGCTGTGGGGGATCATGTTAGTATTGTTTGGTGTGGTTACCTAGGGGTGGTGAGGGGGAAGGAAGACGTACCACCAGCGTTGATACCATCAACGAGCTTGTCGCTGACCTTGCGGTCGACAGTCTTCAGACCGTCCTTGACGGTCTCTGTCGCGGACTTTTGCGCGGCAAAGGAGGTGGTGAATGTTCTGGGGGCAGCGACGGCGGCTCTGGGGATGACGCGGGGGATGGTGGCCAGACGGCGGCCGGTGGCTTCGATGAGGAAAGACATTGTGATTTGTGTGTTTGGTGGTTTATGAAAGGGTTATTAGTGATGGAGACGAGTCGTCGTTTGATTTGTTTGAAGCTTTCGAGGTGTTGTTGATGTTATGATGAATAGGTAGAAAGGGAAGTAGAAGGAGTAAAGGTGCAGCCAGACAGCTCAAATATGAAAGACAAGAGGAAACCCGGAAGGAGCTACCCCTCGCTCGCGTACCTCCCTTAGCTTACCTACTCCCGTCCCAGTCTGTGTCTCCCATGGTGAGGTGCGGAAAAAGGGGAGCTAAGCCCGAGTTGAAGCTGAGCTACGTATGAGCTACCCGTGATGTCATGGGGTTCGTCTATTGAGGCGAAGAGGAGGAAAGGGCAGTAGGCGATAATTAGCACCAACACGGTCTGGAACACTCCCCGAATGCACTGACCCGACTGCACCCCAGGGCGGTAACCTCCCCCCAAAGCTCCACCATGCACAGCATAGGTGCACTGGGCTGGACCAAAGGGGAGAAAAAAAAAAGAGGCGCTATGACGTCCTGGCAACCACCAAGACAATTGTATCACACCTACATCATCGATCGCGGACCAATCCCTCCAGTCTCCAGCCGCTTGACACTTTGATCCAATGCACGTTCAATGCGGCCCGTAAACAGTGCTTGTGAGAGTTGGTGCATGTACCGTCCAGGTTCCGATTTTCGATCTCTCTGTGCGGAATGAGCGGTTGGTGCTGGAGAAGATGACGCCATATCTACTTACCTTACGTTTGCCTGGCCATCTCATCAGACCGCCAACTGCCTTACCTAATACCAACCTCTCTGCCACTGTACACATTGCTTTGGGCTGTTTGCATAACCTCGGTCTTCAGCGTTTGAATAGCTCTAATCTAGATAGGGCAGGGCGGAATGAAGAGGAATACCTTGGTAGGTAGCCCAAGGTAAGCTGGCATTCTGGGCTAGCATTCAGCTTGACACTCGTTCCTTTCACATGAGCCCCAGCTTCGGTCCTAGTCTACATCAAGTCAAGCAGCACCTTCTCAGAGGTTCCCTGCCATGATGAATCTCGATCTCATCCGTGCCGCACCGGGACCCACTACCGGCACGGATCCGAGGTGGAGCTTAACAGCTTTCTTCACCTGCCCGGCATGCACATTGGAGCTTCTTCAAGTTCTCAGTTATTCATGTGCCCTAAGTCTCTCGCATGATCGATTGAACAGAAACACTACATCATTCCCAAAGAATAACAGTCTCATCAAGATGTCGAACATGGCCGCCGCATCTAGCTCACGATCAATCTCGAGTTGCTTGAACTCTTCCGATGAGCTGACCCATCTCATCATGAACTCGAGGGTATATTCAAGCACAACATGCATATCTCTCATGCATTTATCTAGACCATGAAGTGTACCATATACTACACAGCCCTTACTGTCCCTTGAACACGGGCTTCCTCTTCTCCTGGAACGCCTTGAGCGCCTCATTCCGGTCATCCGTAGCAACAACCCGCTCATACATCTTATTCTCAACCTCCTCCCTCGCCCAAGCCACAGCCTGAAGCCCAGCACGAATCGCAATCGGCCCGCCCTCGCAAATCTCACCCGCCAGCCTCACGCTTTCGCTCAGCACCGCCTTGCGCGCCGCCAGCAACACGCCCTTATCCTTGTCGCCCTCGCCGGCCTTCTCCGCCTCCTCGTGCGTGATGTCCACCAGCCGGTCCGCGATGCCCAGGAAGTAGGCCTCAGGCGCGGAGACGCGACGGCCCGTGAGGATCAGGTCGCGCGCGCGGGACAGGCCGATGAGCGCGGGCAGGCGGTGGGTGCCGCCGGCGCCGGGGATGATGCCCAGGCGCGTCTCGGGCAGGCCGACGAGGGCGTTGGAGGAAAGGACGCGGAAGTGTGTAGAGAGGGCGAGCTCGAGGCCGCCGCCGAGGGCGATGGAAGAGATTGCCGAAATTGTTGGGATGGGGAGGTTCTGGAGGGAGGTGAAGGTGGAGCGGAGGTTGTGGAGGAACTCGTCGGTCCTGCGCGGGTTCGAGCGTTAGCAAACTCGCTCTTCTTTGAAATATCGACCAGAACGTTCCAACTGGCCCCTTTGCTGGAGCCAATGTTCACCATACAAGGGTTCAACTTACTCTTCCTGTGTGAAGCCCCGCCTCTCCTTCAAGTCCGCACCAGCGCAGAAGCTCGTCTCAACGGCGCTGGCGAGGATGAGGGCGCGCGTAGGGCCCTTGACGTCCTTGCCGGCGGCGCCGCCAAAGATTGGCTGCGGCGGTACCTCGGCGCCGGTTTCCGGGTCATACTGGGCGTGAACGGCGTCAACCTCGGCACGCAGCTGGGAGAGGAGGGCTTTGGAGAGGGCGTTGCGCGCCTTGGGCCTGTTGAGCTCGAGGATGCGAATGTGGCCGGACCCGGGCGCCGGGAGCTGTGTGACGGTGATGAGCGGCTGGTTGGAGTCCGCCGCCGTCGAGGTAGAGTAGAATGCTCCGGCTACCGCCGCCGGGGATCTGGAGGATGCTGTTGTGGTGCGCGGGATGCGGATTGCGACCCGGAGGGGGGCGAGACGGGGAGGCATTGCGGCGGTTGGGTAGGCTGCAGTGAGATGCGCAAACAGAACAATCCAATGAAAGGAATTCGAGATTGAAGACGGGGTTCAATCGCAATGATGGGCGTTGAACGAGTCGCAGAATCCGATGTCCACGTTGTGCCGGTTGAGCTGGAGGTTATGCCGAGGACAGCAATTGAGGAGCAGAAGCTCCATTGGTGAGCATGCAATGACGTTCGCACCAATTCGGTTTTGCTCGGCTATTTGTGGAGACCTTTGCACAGCTCCTGAGCATAAAACGGTACGTACTCCCGTTTGTGTTCTCGGTGACGGGAAGCTCCCAGCGAAGCTCACCGAGCATGGCACCCGGGGAGCTTGGATCACACACCTCGCTCACACCGCGACCCAAAAACCGCCCTTCCTTCCATCGACGATGCTTGGCATTTTTAAAAAACCACAAAAGCAGTCCAAAAACACCACGATCGAAGAAGTTATGGACATCACCATGGGCGCCCGGAAGCAGCCAAGCCAAAACCTCATCTCATCATCAAGACGCTATCAAGGGGCGTTCTTGGCCCGTGCACAGTGACGTCCACGTCCTCCTCACGTTCCTGGTGCCAAGCGCACACGCCAAGCATTTCTGTCCCTGCGCAAGCACAGCAAGGAACAAGTCTAGCTGAGCTGTCGCGTGTCTCAATCGAACTTGCTGCCGCTCTTCTTAAAATCGCGCTTGCTCCCCTTCTCTTGGTCCCTCAGGTTGCTAATCGTTCAGTGACTTGGAAAGACTAGCAGAAATCATGTCAGACAACACGGCAGAAAGCATCCTCGTCCCCTTCTTGGGGGCTTTTCAAGCTTCCTTATCGGTGCTCCTCACCATCTCCGCTGGTGTCATTGCCGCCCAGTATGGCCTTCTTGACGACCGCAGCAGCAAGAAAATTTCAACTTTTTGCGTCCGGATGGCTCTTCCTGCTCTTCTGATTACGAATGTTGGTTCACAGCTTGACCTCGAGACTGTAAGTATCCTGGGCCCACCCTTCGGCACCTCATATCCGTCTCGTCTGACCCATACACCAGGGAATTCGATACGTTCCCATCATCATCTGGGCCATCTTTTACACTACCGTGTCAATTGGTATCGGCTTCGTCCTGACAAAGGTCTTTGGCATGCCCGACTGGGTCATCCCGGCCATCGCCTTCAATAACACCACCAGTCTGCCCCTCTTGCTCGTGCAGTCCCTAGACGCCACCGGTATCCTTAGCTCCATCGATGACAGCTCTGGCGTCGTCACCAAGGCCAAAAGCTACTTTTTGGTCAACGCCATGATTGGCAACTCCCTCACATTTGCTCTTGGCCCCAAACTCCTCAACGGCCAAGAAGAGGAAGCTCCTGACAAGGTCGAGGGAGACCAAAACAACGACGATGACAATGAAAGCGACGGTGAAGAAGACCTCGAGTCCCAAGAGCAGGACGCCATCGAGCACAACGAGCAGACCTCTCTGCTTCCAGACCGCACCGTCACCAGAATCACCCGCACAAAGTACCGCGTCTACGGCAAGGGCAGCAAATACTGGTCCAACCTGTCCCCGACATCCCGCTCCATCCTCGAGTTCCTGTACAGCTTTGTCAACGCCCCCGTCATCGGCGCGCTCATCGGAGCCCTTCTCGGTCTCGTTCCCGCCCTCCACCGCCTCTTCTTCAACGAGCCCGAGGAGGGCGGCTACTTCAATGCCTGGCTCACCTCCTCGGTCAAGAACGTCGGCGAGCTCTTTGCCGTGCTCCAAGTCATCGTCGTGGGCGTGAAGCTGTCCAAGGCGATCTTGCAGTACAAGAACGGGGAGGATTCGAAGGAGAGCAAGGTGCCTGTGGTGCCGTTCCTGGCGGTCACGTTTGTTAGGTTCATTTTGTGGCCCGTCATCTCGATTGGTGTGATTTATCTTTTGGCTAGCAGGACGGAGCTGTTGACCAAGGATGCGCTTCTGTGGTTCTGCTTGATGCTTATGCCGACTGGACCTCCGGCTATGAAGTTGTCTGCGCTGGCGGACGTTGATGGATCTGAGGATGCTCTGAAAATGTTGATTGCGAAGTTTTTGACGGTAAGTCAACGCCCTCTGAACTCGAACCCTCCGATGCGTGGGATATTTGCTGACAACATTCCAGATGTCTTATATCATATCACCTCTGATCTGCTTTACGGTGGTTGGTGCTCTGAAAGCAAGCGAGGCCATTGTTGCCAAGTAGACACTTGTCTTTGATTTTCTTAAATCGGTTGGAATAGCTCCGTGGGTGGTTTTTATAGTCGCAAGTCATGAAAGTGATGTTGGAGCCGGTAAATTTAAGCAAGATAGCCATCCACAAACTGATTGGATCTCTTGATAATTGGCCAGCTTGACTTACACAAAGTCTTACTCCACCCGCACCTATCGACTAATTGATCAATTTCATTTTCTTCACAACTTCTTTCGACTCTGCATATTCACTACTTCAGTCCTTGATGATTATGCTGAATGGCGCTTTGTTTATCAAGACTTCAGCAATGCCACATATTCCATTTCTCTTACTCAGATTTATCTTCTTCACCTACCACTTTGCCTCACGCACCTTGTATCGGGCTTCATAGTCCCTCGCAAGAGGCATATGGCAATCTATCTTCCAGATAATGGAAGGGGCTTGGAGACTTTGAGGTAGAGCTCAGGCTTAGGCCTAGTGATGTTGTACTCTTCCAGAAGATAACAATAGGGCGCAATGCTCTCCAGACAACAAAGTCATGAAGGAATAGTGCCTGTGATAATTCTGATTTGCTTTCAACCTGAACATCTGACTATAGGCGCAAGGTATTTCTTGGCACCTCCGATGCCTTTGTGCTCACCCCAAGTCTGCTAAGCTCAACAGCATCATACGTATTGACATGAATATCCATGCCTTTGAGGCCCGGGCGAGTTGTCCAAGTCCAAGCATCCCGAGTAACAATATCTCCCTTCACCACCCCCGTATCCCTCCCATACCAACTAGAAGTTCTCTGTGACAATGTGATTCACTCATGAACCTCCCATCTCGTCTTCACCACCAAAGCTGCCGCTCTTCAAGTATCCGCTTCTCACATGACTTCCAGTGCCTTCTACCTTGCCCACTACCCTGGATATTTCCAAAAAGGCCTTCCTTCCATAATAAAAACTTCCTTTTCCAAACTCATCTCCATCTCCATCTTCCACCGCGAACATCGTCAATCCATCAACCGCGAAGATGTGGTCTGGCAACGATAGCGGACAAGCTACCGTCATTAGACGCAGACGTCGCAGAGGCGGTAGAGGTCGTAGAGGCCGCAACACCGCGATGGCAGTCGAGAACAACGCAATGGAAGTCGACGACACCGCCATGGATATCGACGATACCACCATGGACGTCGATGTTGACAATGCCACCGTGGACGTCGACAACATCACCACGGGCGTCAACCACATCAACATGGCGAGCGCCAACAACCTCGCCATCACTGACGCCCAGCGCCGCTGCAGTCTCCTCAGCCTCCCCTACGAGATCCGCCGCAAGATCTACATCCAAGTCTTCAAGGGCTCCGAAGTCACCTGCGACAGCATCGTCCTCGTCCGCGATGCCCGCCGCCGTCGCAGTGTCCCGCCCCTGGCCTGGGCAGCCACCGCAGAGCACAGCGACTTCCTCCTGACCTGCCGCCAGATCTACAACGAAGCCCGCTCCATCTATTGGGCCCATTCCCTCGTCGACTCGGGTGCGCAACGCTTCCCGACCATGGCGGACCTGTTGAGCCCCTTCGCTCGTCAGAATGCCGAGCACATCCAGGGCATCGTCGGCAACGTCAGAGATTCTGCGCAGCCTGCTGAGTTCTTGCAGTCCTTCCCGCGCGCCAAGACGGTTCGGCTCTCTGACAGCTTTGTCACGCACTTTTCGTACGAGACTTTCGTCGCTGTCTGCAAAGATGAGGAGTCTGTTGTTGCGCATATCAAGGCCAGAATGGAGGTCAAGGGTCTGGATAAGTTGACTGCCGATGTTAAGTTTGGCGAGGGTGTGCAGTTCTTGGTTGCTGCTATCTTGATTGGACACCCTGTCAAGAGTGACGGTACTGTGGTCAAGGATGAGAAGCACAAGCACAAGGTCAGTCTCATTTCGTTCATTGCAGGATTGGACTTCGAGCTCTGTTGGGATATTTCTGAGTTTCTTTTCTTCTTCTTTTCTTCTTCTTTCGATTCTCCTACCTTGCGAACCAGGACTTCATGCTGACCCTGATCCTTTTCAAACTGTAGCATTGCTTTTACAACATGACCACTGGTAAGCTCTTGGTCGTCGACGCTGAGATTAAGCGCGGCTCCCTCCGCAAGTTCGACGAGGACTCTATCGACCTTTACAACTTTGAGCATGTCTTGGAGGGTCAATACCTTCGCGGTATGATGTGATGGACTTTCTTGCCGACGCCTGGTCATACCGTGTCATCGTCTGGAAATTGATTATGTGCATTGTCCCATCCACAGGGAGTTGAAGCCTGAAGGAGGGCAATGTATACGGTATAGGGGCGGCGGGAGTCAACCTTGTACCATTGAAGGGGTTCTTTCTGGAATGAATGAAGAAGGATGGACGGAGTCTTTCAGTCCAATAACAAGAGATAAGAAGACTACAATTGAGACATGATTAAGCCTTTGTGGTCTCACATGATCTGCCTCGTGACACGTGATCGCGAAGCTTCTAGAGTTCTCATACAATAACCACCACTTCAATTGACTCGACTCCATAAGTGGGAATTAACGACTGATTAGGAGTGTGGCAGTCATAAGTCCACTGGACTCCGTTATTCGAATGAGCTTGGGTAAGCCGTAAGAAGCGGAATTAGCGGGGAGAAAGGAAGTCAGCAAGGATGCCAAGTGAACATTTAAAGTCCCGTCACACCTTGATGATTGATCGACAAGTTCATCTAGAGGCACGGGCGAGCTGTAATTGACACTGACTCGCCTCATCCCTCCGGCCGTGCTGACTCGGGTCATAATCGGGGGCCGAATGGAGGAAGATGCGTCTTTTGATTCATTTGATTGGTGGATTTGGCCTAGATTTGCACTCACAATTAATTGCGTTGGTGTTTACTGAATACTATCTCATCAATTTTGAAACAATCGCCAAGACTGTTTCACATTGGAAGGACTCTATATCACCAACTATGTGGGCTGGCATATTAAGTAGGAAGATATAAAGAAACACATCTTCCTCGCACAATATATCACGTAACAAGGATAGGGACCGCAATCCACAAAGTACCTATCACGTACTATATTACGTATATCTTATTTATATCCTATATATAGACCTTTCTCTTTTATCTATTTCTATTTTAATAAGTTAAGCCATTTTATTATACTCTGTATATTTATTACTATATACTATAACTTATAATAATTATAAGCCTAGCTCTTAGTTAAGACCCTATACTACGATAACGTACTTATTAACACAATTCCTACCGTTTTTTTAAAATAATAAATATCTTTATATTAACCTTTAGTTAAACTAAGTTAACTAGCTACGATAATTAGATTAAATAGTTCTAAGCTTTTCGCTTTATAAACGAGGGCCTCGAAATCTAAAAATACGTCGATCTAGACGCTCTAGACTTTAATATACTCCTCGCTCCTCTTATAGTATTCTCTTTATTATTAAACTTTAAACTATTATTTTTAACTTATAATAAAAAAGAGTAACGAGCTTATAAAACTCGTTATAAAGTATTTAAAAACGATTAATAAGAATAGGAGATCCTTTGTTAATAACTTCTAGCCCTAACTCTTAGCACGACCTTTTTAATATCCTCGAATACGAGCAATTTATAAAATCTAATTAAAGTTCTTTTTATAAAACTAACTATATTACTAACTTTACGTAACTAAATATATCCCTATACCGTACCTATAAAAAAAATCTATACGCTCGAGAATATTTAAAAGGAATAGGAACTCTCCGCTAAGTACTACTAAATTATAGCTCCTAAATGTAATAATATTAATACGTATATTAAACTCCTTACTTAGTAATTAAAAAAGTCTATTATTACTACTCTTTATAAATACGTATTTTAAAAAGTAACTTAAGAAGGCGTTAAGTTTAGTATTTAACGGATTATTTAATAACTAAAATAGGATTTAGCGCCCTCTAAAGCTATAGTTAAGAGTATAGTTTAGTAAGAATATAAATAAATCCTTAATAAAATAAAAAACGGAGTTAATACTTAATACTAATACGAGGAGTAATAGTCTATTTACCTCTAAATAAAGACGTATAATATCTTAGAAATTCAAAAAGAGATCGCTATAATTAACTTCTTAAAAACGGTTAAGTCTAAACTTAACCCTATATAGGGCTAACGAACTTATAACGCTTTTTATAAATTAATTACTTTTAAAACGTATACTAGAACCCTCGGGGAGATTACGTATACGTTTAGCTTAGTAACCTAGGAAGTATATATAAAACGGCCTTTAAGTTAAAGAGGGGCTTACTCTACTTTTTTAGGGCGTTCTAACTTATATAAAGACATAAATAATAAAAGGGACGTTATATACCTATATAATTATATATACCGCTAGCGGCCTTTAGCGTATTAAAGACTAGAGTAGGTACTTATAAATCGTAATATTAGTAGGTCCCCAATATAAATATCTAATAGCTATATAGAGGAGGTCTTTATTATAATTAAATTAAGTAAATAGAAATTACTTTATAATAAGCTTAAAAAAGTTAGTTAGCTAAAGGATAATAGAACCTTTAAAAAGCCTCGGCTTTTAAAAAGATCTTCTAACTAGCCTATAACGAGTTTATTAATAGACTAGGACGAGGGCTACGTAGTCGCCATATTTATTAAAAATTAAAAAATAGAATCGAACGTAATCTTTAATACCCCTATAAGTAGCGCTTATCCTTTATCCCGGAGTATAGTAATAGATAGCTACGGGGCAATATACTTAGTTAATAATAAAAGCTTATTAAAACCTAAGAGCTACGTATTATTAAGTAATAGTAACTACGTTAAATTAAAAACTACTATATTACCCGTTACTATATATAGGACTCGGATTATAAAGGGCGTCTTAAATAGACTTAAAAGGGAGGGAATATATAATCTAAGGCTTTAAAACGTCGCTTACGTCGAGGGCTTCTATATAAATATAGTTTTAAAGACTTTTTTAAATAGAAGCGCACTTTAATACTATAGTCTAGATTATACTTTATAGTAAAGAACGCTTCGTAAAAATACTATTAAAAAATAATTAATCTAAAAGAATAACCTAGTCTTTTTTAAATATAAGCTCCTTTAATCCTACCCTTTTACCGCAACCTTTAACTATGTCTTTAAGAGCCTAGCTAGTATTATACTATTAATTAATTATAAAAAGTTCCGCTACTCGTATTAACGTACTCGTAAAAGATCTAATAATACGCTTCTATAGTACCTTAGAACCGGTTATCTAGGACCTAATGCCCTTCGTTAATTTCTATATAAAACTTATAGAGTACGTATTAAGCCTTTAATATAAATTAAATACGAAGCTTATATAATATTTAAAGCTAAATTAATAATTTTAAAAGGACCGCCTTTAAAACGCGCCTTATAGCTATAATACTAAGTATATTAAAATCTTTTCTATTTCGAGCCCTTTTTAAATAGATAATAATATATATTTATAGCTTCCGATAAATATAATAGATAGCTTAGAGGGTTCTTTTTAAAAAATAAAACCGAGAAAAAGTGCTTTATATATTTTAGAGCCTCGAAGTAGCGATCCGTTATTAAAAAAGAACTTTAATCTATTTCTTTTAGAGCAATAACAAAACCGCAGTCCTTATAATAAACGTTAAACACGCTTATAAAACGTAATATAATAAGCTAGGAATTAAAATAGAATTTCTACCTCTATATATAAAAGAACCCGTAGGTAATATAGAGAGAATAGGTTAACTCGTAATTACTAAAGCTCGTAAAATACGCCTTTTTATAAACCTCCTTAAAAAGCTTTAGGACGAAGCGGTATTAATAGCGATATTTATTTATAATATTACCCTACGGGAGGCTAATAATAGAAACTCGCCTATTATAATAAAAATTAATTAATAAAAGCGATATTAACGCTAATAGTAAACGGGTTACTAAATACGGGATTCTAAATTAATAACCCCGTATTTTAGTGTCTATATATATATAGCTACCGGGTATATCCTCTTTATAGGGATCGTAAAAGGGGTATATAACGAAAAGAATATAAAATACTTCCCCGCAGTATATTAAATACTTAGTTAAATATATATTAAAAACGTATAACTTATATAAAATCTAGGTACCCGCGCTCGAGTAGGTATTCGTTATAAAGAATATTAAGTTTAATAAAGAAGTCTTTTATAATCCTATATATAAAGAGCAAGCTATCGTAAATAAATAAATAAATCTAATAATCTTAAAGATATAAAAACTCTTCGACGTTAATAA